TTCCCGGTTTGGGGCGCGAGGGGGGGTTTAATAAAACAACCTTAAAGCGTAAAATTTAAATAAAAAAAAAAAAAAAAAAAAAAAAGAGCAATTTAAACATAAATATCTGTACAACCCAAACAAAAAGTTCAAAGAACTGGATTGTTGGAGAACTCAGTTTGACAACAAAGCTCAGAAAATGATCTTTTATACGTTTGGATGATCGTTTCTGTGTATTTACCGGATGCACGCGCACGTTGGCCCACATACTGCCGCCACGGGATTGGCTGATTGGATTATTGCAACAGAAGGTAGTCAAACAATTAAGTTCTTAGCAGTGGCGCTTTTTATTTTTCTGAAGAGGAATTGTCAGCGTACAGCGGACGCCGGTTTTAGAAGTCCGTATCCTGTTTTTGACCCATTTACCGGAACTGTCAGGATGCCCAGAGGGAAACTGTGCCTGAGTGAAGGCGATCGATACAAGCCAGGAGGTGTTTCTGACTGCTGCCAATCAGCGCCACATCTGCAGTTATTAGCCTCACCGGCAGAGAGGGACGTCTGGCTCGAACTTCAAATATGATTTCAAACAACAAAGAAGCATTTTTGTTGCAGAAAAACAAACAAACAAACAAACAAACAAACAAACAAAAGACACACAACTCGAACAATCAGAGGTTGTTCAATGGTCCATTTATATTTTTTTGGAGCAGTTGCAATCTGTTTGAGGCAATAGAAAGATTCACAATTGTCTTTTTAAAACACATTTGGTCTAGCAATGAAAAAAGAGAAAAAATCAAATAAAAAAAAAAAAAAAAGGTCACCGACATTGCATCTCCGTTATAAGTCAGGTTTTCTGCCTAAGGATCACAAAAGACATACATGACGTTGTCAGTTTCCAGATGCTCACTAACAAATACGGCACATCTGTTGGTCATCCAGTGTGTGTGTGTGTGCGTGTGTGTGTGTGTGTGTCTGTAGGGGGGAACAGCTTCGTTCTGAGTGGCGTTTTAAGCATCGGAAGATGACCTCTAGGACTTCTAAAACAGCAGTGGGTAGGCGGGGCCAGGGTCTGCCGGTCAGCTGATCCAACGCAGCCTTTTGTCGCTTGATAACAAAAAAAATACTCATGCATTCATGGGATGCAAGTTTTGCACTTTGACATGAGGAGGTCAGCTTATAAAAAGTGCATTGTTAGAGTACTCACAAACTTTGACTTTCTTTTTTTTTTTTTTCAATTTTTTTTTTATCACATCCACTACGAGCCCCAGTGTGATTTATCAGGATTCATAGTTTGTTGCTAAAGTAGAAGAAAATTTTTCAGTTCACTTTGCTTTGATTAACCCTAAATCAAATCCTGGTCTGGTCAGAGAAACTGAACCACTGTGTGAAACACAGTGGTGACACCGTCATGCCTTCACCTTCCAGTTCAACCCATCTTGTTTTTTCTTTTTAATAACAAAGGGAAACCAGGAATGGTTTCACGTTTTCACGTATTAAGGCCCAGTCAAAGTCCAGACCTAAAACCAATCAAGTATATGTGACAAAACCTGAAAATTGCTGTTCACAGATGATTCCCATCTGATCCGACCAGCTCCTTTGCAAATAATGAGCAAAACTTCCAGTGTCTAAATGGCAAAAACTTGTAGAGAAAGTTAAGTGCAGAAGAATCAAAATCTTACCAAGTACTTTCTGTCAAGTTGCCAGTGCCATAGCCTAGAAAACTTAAAATATGACAAAGCAACTTTACAAGTAACTTTTCAGCAAGAAACAGAAGCTTGTTTTAAACTCAATAATTGCTCAATATTGTTGAAAAAGTACAAGTTCCACTGGTAGATGGACAAGACATTTTCCCCCATGTAATAAGTAAAACAATCTGCCAGTTTTTATTTTTTGCAGTGTGTTGACCATAAATGCAAATGTCTTCCACATTTCCAGATTTCATTTAAGTAAAAAAAAAAAAACCAAACAAAACAAAACCCAAAAGAAAACAAGATGCATCTCTTTCCTTCTCACTCACACTCCATCTATCCAATTGAATCCAATTCAAGTCCATAAGAGTTTGCGTTCTGTGACACAACAAGTATTAAAGAAAAGTCCAAGCAGTGTGAATACTCCAGCAAGGCCGTGCGGATACCCAGAATAATCCGGAGATGGTTTGTGCACTGTTAAAACACCGACACGTTGGTAATACTCAACAAATGTAGCACCTTGTTGGCTTGAATCAGCGACAACGTAGATCCCTGGCGCCTGGGCTACTCTACTCCACATAGCAACAACGTTACTACACAAAGTTGACAATTTAGTGTGTTGACAAGAAAAGAAGATGTGAACAAAATGCCTACATGTAGCTGTTGTTTTTTTTTTTTTTTTTTTTGGTTTTGTTTTTTCGTTTGTTTTAACAAGTCTTTTTCCCGTTACTGTTGCTGCTATAAGTGACATCCACATCTGCACATAAAAAGTATATATTTGCATTTATATAATATATATCCGTACTCTATTAACAGATTTGTCTACCATGAAGTTAGAACTGCCACCCATCTCTCAGAAAAGTTTTTTCTTTTTTTTTTTTTTCGTTTTGTACTTCAAACATTGACTATTTTACAACACAGAAATCAACTAATTTTGTACAACGTCGGAGCGAGTGAAGCTCTGCCGGGGCCCCGCTGTGCCTCAGTGGGGTTTTACATTTTTTTTAAACTTTTTTTTTTTTTTTTTGTCGTGTGTGTGGGGGTGGGTTTTCTTTTTGTTGGTGCAAGTTAGACACTTTTTCATCTCAGTAAAACACAGTTTCTTTTTAAAAAAAACAAAGCATGTACAAACTAGCGTCGTCTGAACCGAGAGGCTGTTCAGCTGAACTTGGACCCTTTGATGCACTCCGTTAAGCCGAGGAGACGTTGTCACGTTTGTTTGGCACGGTTATATACAACAACGGGTGACGAGTCGCTTTGAGGAAGGCCCTTCCCCTAAACGACAAAGAGCGGATTTGCGACGTCGAAGCGCAAAAGCTAGCCTAGAAAAGCGAAAGCGAGCAGAGAAAGAATGGCGCGTCAGTCGCTCTCTCTCTTTCTCTTCGGCTATTCCTGGCGGCGGTACCGTCTGCTAACAGCAGGGCAGTGAAAGGAGCACCGTGACCCAGCAGTTCATCTCCAGTGTTTCACATTAGCGACAAACAGATGACTGTGGTGTGAGATTTTAAGTGCGACTATTCCGTGTGATACCAGGTTATCGGGTGAGGCCGACCCAGTGGCAAAAAAACAAAAATAAAATAAAACAACAACAAACTAAAAAGGCCAGAAAAGAACATGAGAAATAGTGCAATGTACAGTACACAATGCATCTGCGTCAACATACAGTGGGACATCAAATACTATACACGGGAATTTAAAAAAGTAGAAAGAAACGGACAAAAACAAAAAACCTCCAAAACGTTTCCGTTCTCCAGGCCGGAGAAGGAGACACCTCGCTGAAGCCCAAACTAAAAGTACGAGTGACATACTAAACGTCCGACAGCTCTGCCTCTTGTGCTTCACGTTACTACAAGCCATGTTGCTATAGCACATATTTACAGGCGACCACTTTCACCGTGTCCCCCTCAACCTTCAGCCGTGAAGACCGCTTATCCGTTTCTCTCTCTCGCCGCCGTACTTCCGATCCCCAAAGCAATCGCCGACCCAAACCTTCCTCTCCTTCCCTTCTCCCTCCCCGTACCCCGTACATTCAGACTCTCTCCCCATGTCTGTCTCGTCCCTCAGGGGTCCAAGGTCTTCCTGCCGAGCTGAGCACTCTTTGAAAACACTTGTTGATCAGAAACGCAACACATGAACAAAATGTGTCCGATTGGTGGTGTGCATGCACATGCGTGGCAGCTCTTCTTCACGTCGGCCCCCTTTCGTGCCGTCCTCAGACGTCTCTGTCCCAATGTCTCCGTCCTACTCCTCCGTCTCCTCTTCCTCCTCCTTTGTCCTGCTATCTATAATGCTACTCAGAAACTACAGGGGAGAGGGAGAGGAGGGAGGCAAACTGTCCTCTCAGCTTGAACTCCAAACTTGAACCGTCCCCCCTTCTCCCGGTCATTCGTCTCGTCCTCCTCCGTTCCACGTGTCCCTTTAGACCCAAGAGTCCGGTGAGGCTGGGTAGTGGCTGGTCTCGTAGTTGAGCTCGCTGTAGGGTCTGGAGGCCGAGTAGAAGTCTACATAGTTGCCGGTGGACTTTAGTCCCTGTAGGTGCATGTTGAGGTCGCCCTGCGGGGGACGACCTCCCGAGTGGACCTGGCTGTCGTAGAAGGCCTGGTCCTCGTAGTTGCTGCTGTCCAGTGGCGGGGGGTTCTGGAAAGGAGGATAGGGCTCCGATGGCAGGCCTTGGGAAGAGACCTGGAAAGAGACCAAAGGTCATTCGTGAGAGGAAGCAGTTTGTTCTGCAAACAGGGGTTCCTGTTGCTCTCTTCTGTACGGGAAAAGATTGTGGCGCACACAACTGTTGATGATGCCTTTCCAAAACTCGATCCTACCTGATGTAGGCTCTCTTTACCTGTTAGCTTAAGCAGACTCTAGTAATTAGCTCTCTTCCAGTTGGCTGTCAGAGTAAAGAGGGGTGAATATAAATGGACTGAAGTTTTTCAGATTTGCATTTGAATAAAACCTTAAAAACCAAACATGGTTGTGCTTCTGTTTTGCTGTTATGTTTTACTTTTTGTTGAGCTCCAGTCAATACATCAAACCTTTTTAACGGTGCATGAAGACAAAAGTTCAATGGGCGCTAATACTCTTGCGTACTTTGTGGCTTTGATTCAGATTTCCTCAAGCAAACTACTAACATAAAAAAATTAAAAAGTTTTTTTCCCTCCACCAGCTTTTACAATCTGCTAATGACGCTCCTTTTCTTTCATTTTTTTACTACTAGCAAACAAATGAAATTTCACTGACTCAATGAGAAGCAATTAAAAAAAACTGCTGCAAAGTGCAGTCCTGTAAAAAGTCACGGTAATAAGTAATGTTGCCTCTTTATAGTGTAAAGCTGATAAAGTAAGACAAAGCATTAGAAGTTCTTGAGGACTGCAGTATGCAACCTCGGCTTGAAGACATCTGTTTATGCACTGGCTTGTTAATGTCCTGGCACATAACTTTGAGCAGCCTAAGCTGATAAGCAAGATAAACTCATCACTGCACCACCATCACCACGCTTCATGGTTAAATACGTCATTATATCCCAACAGTTTGGTTTTTCATGAGGAAGCGCTCTGCTTACAGCCCTTCCAAACAAATCGGACCTGATTTTTGTATTCTGCTGTCAAATTGTCAAGAGCTTCCGAAACAAGAAAGACTTGTCTTTACCTGGTTATACTTCAGATCATCAGTAGGGGACACGTAGGCTCCTCTGTGCAGGGTTGAAGACCCACCTGTGATCTGACCTGGAGGCACAACGGGTAGATGTTTGAGCGACAACGGCACAAAACAAGTAAGAAATCTTGAGTTTAATGTTCTTATACAAGCGCCTTGTGTGAAAAGCATGTCTTTGGTTTTGTTGTCACTTAGGGGTTAATGGAGAACCTTGCATCCGGGGATGGAAGAACAGGGTTTCTGCTGGTTGCACCAACTCAAATTTAAGATGTTAAGAATTTACGACCCATACCTCCACAGGAATGTCAAACTTCATCCAGCCAACTAGTGATGAATTAGCTAGCTGCTGCATCTAGCTAGCAAGGCTGGTTCAGCAGCTAGTTAGCGTTAGCCTCACCCATCTAGAGTCGCATTTAATGTAGACATCCATATTTTGACTGACAGAATAGTCCGTAGAGGAAAAAAGAAAAAAAGATAAATAGTCCTGTCAAAACAAAACTTAAGACTTATAATTAATGTATTTGGTGCCGACTTACTTTAAAAAAAAATGAATTTAAGACACTGCATAGCCTTGACTTTACATACATGAATTTAAGGCTTTTTAAGGACGCACGGCCTCCCTGTAGAAAGACTTTGAAATGCCAGATGTGTGTTTTAGAACGTGCTGTACACACAGGTTCCACCTGTTTGTCTTCTCCCCAGAGGGGATTTTCCTGCGTGAATCCTTGGAGACGTTCCCTCGACAAACACCAGGAAACCTGGCTCGACTCGACTCAATTAACCCAAGCCACCGTTAAGGGCCCACGAGTCGAGGCTCCTTCAGCAGAGAGCCGAAGAGCTGAGGCTGTTACACTGTCTGCTTGCCGTGAGCCTGTAATCCTGAGTGTGTGTGAGAGAGAAACTCTGGTTTACTCAGATGGGAGAAATCCTTCGTGACGCCTGCAATGAAGGTCAACATGAACGAGTGTGGAGAGAGTGAACTCAAGGTCCTTTTCTCTCGATCCCCATTTTCTTCAGGAAACGTTTCATGATCATGGATAACAGAACTTAATCAGTACAATAATAATATTGCAGAATCAATCAATCAGCAACAGCTGCTTCCCCATTTGTAGTATTTATGTTTGTTCATAATTTGGTTTGTGTATATCTTACCAATGTTTGATTGTGTATTGATGATCAATTACACTTGTAGCTTAAAGTCATTTGCTGATAAACTTTAGATGTTTTTATCACTGGTTGAAAATCGAAACATTGAGGAACATAAAGAAAACATCCAGGTGTTTTTTAAACGTGCGGCAAGAATTAGGCCAGTCATAATAAACAATAACTCAATTATTTGCATGATAAACTAAAACAAGCTCAATCATTTCCATTTGCATGATTTTTTTTGTTTTTCTCTTTTTTGTCTTCCTATCAAAAAACTGGATGACAAAAGTCTTCAGTCTCACCTAGCCCTTTGCTTGAAGGATAATTTTCTTTACAGACTTCATCATTCGTTTTTGTCATGATCGTGTTTCCTGTATTTATTTTTAGGGTTTTCTGTGTTCGGTTTCTGTCCTGTGAGTCTGTTTCTGCGTCTTCCCCGTTGATTGTTCCCAGGTGTGTCTCGTTCCCTTGATTACCCCTTGTGTATTTATGTCCACCTGTTGTCCCTGTCTCTTGTTGGGTCCTTGTCTAATGTCTGTTCGTCTGCCGGCACAGTTGAACTGTGAAGTCCTGTGTCGGTATTAGCTCATCGTGTCAGTCCTTGTTGTCAGTTGCTACCGGTATTTAGCTGTGTGCTAACTTCTCTGCCGTGCCGCCTGTATTGGACTGTTGGAGCATCTTCATCATTAAACTCATCATCTTCACCATAACCTGGGTCTCTGCGTCAATCCTCACCACCGAAAAACCACACTTTATGACAGTTTTACTTGTTTCTATTTTTTTTTATTATTATTTTGGTTATTTAAAATGTCTTCCAGTTCTAGCGTTAAATGCTCATCAAAATTCAGTTTACTGATCCTTTAAAAAGTGTTCTTGCATTATTACGCTGTTACCGTTACATTACTTGAAAATGGTCTCAAAACAATATTATCGTTTATCGCGATAATTTCTGGGACAATTTATCATCCAGCTAGGTTTGTTGTGGTGACAGGCCTAGCAAGAATCATTCAGGTAACAAATGGAAGAGAGATTGACAAATAGATGGATGGATATACATGACTGATAAATTACTCAGTATTATCATGTTGCCTCTCTCAAAAAAAAAACAAAAAAAAAAAACAGATAAGTTTCAGTTTGGAGTCCAAATGTTTTTATTGTGTAAATGTAAAGTAAAGATGTCTATGCAGAAAGCTTGGCTCAGCTCAGCTCGCCCTCCTTCGCCTGCAGCTTCAGTCAGAGCACAGATATGCAGTTGGAGCTGATTCTCCAACCTGTTGGTTTCAAAACCAAATCACCCAAAAAAATGCTAAAGCTTTGCTGCATGCAGGCAAACCAACAGACACGAGTCTGTAGGCCGACTTTCTTCCTAAAGCCTTTAACCCCACGGGGAAAACGGCGACATTGTGACAGACATACAAGATGAGATCCCTACCCGTCATGGCGTCCTTCCGGGACGTGTGCTCGCCCTTGTTGCCATGGAAACTGGCATTGCCGGTAGACTCGTAGTCTGCCTTTCTCTCCTTCAATGCCATCATCTCTCTGGGGGACGCGGGAGCACTCGCTGCGCACAAAGCACAAAACAAAAAAAGAAAATCAAGACATGCAGACACAGAATTTATTTACTGTTTTATTTCAATATACATGAGGAGGAGAGAACAAAGGAAGCAACAAGTGTGGATGAAACATTCTGGAAACCTCTCACGACGCTTCCTTTCTTTGTAAGCTTGGTTACTTGGATTTACTTGGTTTCAATCTAAACTAACAAACGGAGATCTGACGCTTTACGGCCAACGGAGGCGGATTTGTCGGCAAACCCCAGTAAATGTGGGCGAATATCCATGAAGTAAAATGCTTCATTAAAGCCAGCAAGTTCTCATATTCATAAATTAAGAAAACTCTGATCAGTCTGGGTAGATCGTCCAGAGCTGTAAATGTTCTTCTCTTTTGTTCACCAAAAGAGTAAATCCATAAAATTTGGATTTAAGACGGTCATGGATTTTGTGTCTGCTGAACCATTTGAATCTGGGATTAACCTTTACGTTTTGTATCCGTCTATTCTGAAACACCCAGTGAGGAACCTTTTACAGACTTTTTTCTGTCATAAAATCCAAGATGGTTTCCAAGTTCCTTTGGAAGAAAAACAGACCCAGAGCATCACAGACCTAACTTGTCAATAATTCCTTAATATGGATGAAAAAGTACTAGTTCTAATGGGGCTTTTTCCCCCCACTTATAACAAGACATGTTTCCATGTATTAAGTGAAATTATCTGCCAGTGGAACTAGAACTTTTTCATTAATACTAAGGAATTACTGACTTAAAACAAGCTCCTGTATCTTGTCTTATTTCAAATTTTATAAGATATTTACACTAGAAACTAGACAAAAAATGCTTATTTTTTTGCAGAGATAGATGTTAATTATAAATATAAATGAAAAGTTGAATTAAACATTGCACTTTATTTTTCAGTGTGACATTATGTTGATGTAATAAAAGATGATTTTTTTTCCCTGCCCATCCTCTAATTCTTTACCGGTGGTGCAAACGCAACACATTCCTTGTAGCCTGTATGTCAGTTTGTTGTCACTAATATCACCCCTACTTTTTGGATCCCAGCCGTGTAAACACAGGGTCGTCTCTTCCATCTTTTGCAAACTTTATTGTTCCACTATATGGCACTTAGAAAAGCATCCATCAGTTCAGAGCCACACATGTTTTGGTCTAATGTACGCTCCGCTGTCGGCAGCTTTGCACATAAAAGCAGCTTCACTTCATGCCACTTTATGTCTTCAGCATGCATTAATACGGTTAACATTGATCCATATGCTCAGACGCAGTTTAACTGTCGGTCTGTGCAGTCGGAGCGCTCTCTCATCCCTAAAGCTGCCGACACACAGAGACACTCATAGCTTTCTGTGAGCTCTACAGACCATCTGCTGCAGCTTGTAAACCGAGAAACAAGACAAAAGATCAAATTAGCTTCCAGATCACAAAATCTCACTCGACAGGCTCAGATTACTGCACAATGTTTCTACATATAAATCGTCTAATGACACCTGCTTTGCTCTACAGGTGACCTATTTCACTTTTCACGCGTGTGTGACGTCAGCGATGTTACACCAGGTGCCTTCGTACAACTCCATTGTTTTGTGGCATCCCAACCACAAACCACATCTGTTATTGAGATTTTACGACAAAACGCTGCATCATCGTGAAGTGCAGATATTTTTTTTGCACAGAAAAACCTGGAAAGTGTGATACGGATTTGAACTCAGCCTCAGTTTGTCCTTCCTATCAGGAGGGAATCAACTTGAATTTATTTTCAGATCAAAACAAAAAGTACATTTAAAGTTAGATTTCCTTGATGACAGGAATATCTTAGTAGCGAGAAATCATTCATCCTACGTACGTAGCGACATGCTGTTTCTCATCTCTCCGTGTCAAAATGTGATTGTTGATGTCTTTGATTTTCACTTTCATAACTAAAAACATTATTTTGATGACCGGTTTGTTCCACATGTGGTTTAATTCGTCCAACATTGTGGACATCTGGTGAAACAACAGAAAATATATCTGTTTTACCTGTCGCTTTAAATTTAGGTCAGTGCTTGAGATTAAAGTAAAATTTAATCCTTCATATTTAAAAAAAATATTTCTTCACACATATGGATCCATGAAAATTTTACAATATTTATATATTATTGCTGCAGCAGTGAAGTAATTGTTGCTTTCTCGCTTTAAATAATCCCCACAATCCCTCTAAGTGTTTGTTCCATATTGGCAGAAAAACATGGTTAAAAGATAAAAACCAAAATCATACATGGTTTATAATAACTTCAACAAAAAAAAAAAAAACAACTACACAGAGAAATCTGCTGTTGGAAAGCAGGTCTAAAGAGGTGCGCTGCTCAGACGAGTCTAAGGCTGAACTTTTAAATAAAGTGTTACCAGAAGATTTGTAGATTTTAATCTCGTACAAAATCAAACACAACTAAAAAAAAACCTTCGCATAATTTTCCTCTCAAATCCAATAAAATGATTTGAGATTTGTGGCTGTAGCAAAACAAAACGTCCAAACTCAGCGGTACGGATTGAGTCTGCAAGCATTGTTTCCAGCGCGCCACAGAAACACTTTAAACTTGAAGTCTGTCTCTTTGGTTTCACAGCAGTCATCACTGTGGCAGCCTGAAAAGATCAGAGATGATGATGAACATTGTCAGAAGCTGTCACCATCACCACCACCATCATCATCATCAGCCCAAGTTCTGTGAGACTTCAGTGGCTCGTGTTATTCAAACCCTTCCTCTGGCAACACGAGGACGGGACACGGAGCACGGACTTTTACTCGACAGCGGAGTCATTTGTCGGCAGCCGCCGCGCTGTGAAGGTTTGGAGAAGACTCAGGCTGTGAAGGAGCGGCGCTTCTTTGACCGGCGGGAAGAAGGATGAGGGGCTTCGAGAGGGAGGAACGCAAGAGAAAGGGAGGCGTGGAGACACCCACCTGACCGGTTGTTCGGGGACGTCCGCACCGGAGAGATGGACGGCGTGCGAGAGGAAGAATATGGTCGCTGTCTGTCCCGCTCTATCGTGGAGGAGGAGCCCACGAAGTGGTACTGCGAGTAGCCGTCCTGGAAAGAAAAGAAAAAAAGAAAAGAGAAAAAGAAAAGAAAAGAAAAGATGGGACGGGAAGGCGGTTTGCGGTTTGATTTTCAGCGTCTCAGTCTGTCATTATTCATCGCAAACAATAAAAACAAAACAACTTCCAGAGACAAAATGGCCGTACCTTCTTGTAAAGACTCCGGAGGTCTCTGTACTGCCACATGCTGTTGAGGACTTGCGATGCTGCTTTCACCACTTTGGGACTATGTCTGGGAATTCAGCAGAGAGCAAAAGGACACAGCGTAAAGCTCGACTGTGTTTTCGTTATTGACGAAAAAGATTCAGAAATATCAGCTAAAAAGAAAAAAAAAAAAAAGAAATCCTACTCATTGTAAAGCCTTTGCACCTTCAAAACAAAAGACGTGCTTTCCGTCTCTGTTGTGTCCTCAAACTGAACCGACGCGCTGACAGCGTGATTGCTGTTTGTGATTAATTGGCCAACATTTCAATCTGCTTTTCTTCCAGGTTTTCACTCAGCTGACTGATGGCTCGGAGTTTAATTGGCTTGCGTGGCCTTATCACAGGCTGCGAAATTAAACTTCATTTCTCCGAGACATTTCAGTCGGCGTTACTGTTTTGGGTTTACGTGAGGGCAAACCATTTATGAGAGAGAGGAAAAAAATAAAACACATGAAACCCGGTAGAAATCACCTTTATGTTCCGAGAGCATCTCTAAAGCATTGATTTTAGTCATAAAACAAAGTAAAGTTTTTATAGAAATGAACTAAAGTTGGTGTTTTACAGTTTGGCATCTTCATATGTTCTTATTTTACTTGTCCTCATGGTTAAAATGATAATTGTTCTGAACATATTCTTCGTCTTCAGTGCCTTGAAACAGTAGTTTTACTCATTCTTAATGTTCTAAGCACAACCATAAAAGTATCTTATCTAGAAAGAAGCAAGAAGACCTTTTACCACGCAGATGGCAAAGGGAGCTTATGGAAGTTGGTTTGCTCACTGAACAACAACAAACATGCAAAGTGTTAACGTGTGGTGAAACACGGCGCAGGTAGCATCAGGCTGTGGGAAACAGGAAAATTGGTCACAGTAAACGGTTTAGGTCCAAACACCTGGATGCATGTCAGTGTGATGACAAACCGCAGTCTGAACATCTTGAACTGGTGTGAAAACCTTTGCAAGGCACAGTTAGCATTGTTCTGTTGTTAATTTAATCAGTTAGACCAGAAATAGCGTTGATCTATCAGACTGAGGAAAAAAAAAAAAAAAACGAAGCTCTCCAAAAATCACAATCTTGAGACCTTGTGTTCTCAACTGTCTGTATCTAGTGGATGTTAAAAATTCAAGAAGTAAACAGCAGTCTGCGCAGAGAGCACACAATGACGACGACCCGGCTTTAGTTCAGCTTTGTGTTCACACAGGTGACCTTCAGCTTCATCTTCAGCTCCCTCTCAGATTCCAGCGCCCTCTAATGTCGACTGGATTCCTCCCAAATGTGATTAACAACGACATAAAAACTAACAGCCAACAGTCACAGTACATTTCAAACGATTCCCAGACGAGCCGTTTGTAAGCTGAGCGGAGTGGATAAATTGTCTTTTTAGGAGTTTGTCTGGGGACAATCGTAAGTGATTCTTTCGGCAGGTAAAAAAATAAAAAATGGAGCAAATATACCTTTTTAGTATATTAGTTTGACATTTAGTTCTTTTGAAACTAAAACCGGTTTTATTCTCTTTAAATCCACGTCAGACTTTGCAACTGTTATGAGACTCCTCATCCCGCTTCGTTCACCCGCCGTCGCCGCCGCGGCCGCCTTCCCGTTCGGCTTACTTGTCTCCCTTGCTGCGCGCGATGCCGATGAGCTTCTCGATGCCGCCGGCGTCCCTCAGGGCTTTGGTGTTCTCCATGTTCTTGGTGATGACCTCATGCAGCGCGCAGCAGATCGCGGTGATGGTGTCGTCCGACATGGTCTTCCCTGCCAGGATGCTGCTGTTGATGCTGCCTCCTCCTACTCCTCCTCCGCCGCCACTGCTGCTGGTGGTGTTGTTGTTGTTGCTGCCTCCGGGTAAGCGATGCACCAAGTCTCTCATGGCGTATTTGCCTGGTCGAAGGTGATGGACAGAGTGGGGAAGAAGAAGAAAAAAAAAAGGTTTAGCGGGAGGCTGCAGATGAGTTTTTAGAGGAATGAGAAACAAGATATGAAATAAATACTGTAATTCGTGAGTATCTTCAGGCGGAGCTGCAGGAAACATCTTTTTAAAGTAACTCTTTTTTATTTTTTCCCTCAAAACTCTCTGGAAATGTTCCATCTAAAGGTTATACAAGTTTGAGGTGAGCTTTGAAGTCTGACTTAAATCAACTCCACCCGAGGCTACGGGCTCTCGAAAAGCTTCTGGAAAACCCCTTTGCTGCACTTTAAAACCCCCCAGAAAAAAACATTAAAATATAAATAAGTAAACTTGTAGGAGGTTAGGTCTGTTGTACCAATATGATCAATATGTATGTCTTAATTTTCAACATCTCAATAATAACTAAGAATTCACAAAGTAGAAATTAAAAAAATAAATAAATCTATAATCAACTTAGAATGTTCCGGTAGGAGACGAATCGTTTTATTGTGGTTTTTATGTTTTTCTATGATGGTAGAGATGATTAAACACAGTCGATATTCATAAAGAGAAAAACAAACATGCATTGAAGTACCAATACGAAGAACACAAACAGCTCAAACTTTAGTGTCATTAGCGGCTAATTGTTAGCTTGTTGTCATATCTTCCCAGTGCTCATGAATCATTTGGATTCACTCTGTCAGTGCTTCTCGTTTCTGTACCGGCCGCCTAAATTGCTGCTGGATAAATTATTTAGAAGCTATGGAAACTTCTTTAGCTCTGTCAGCCATCTGGACAAGAAGCCATTGTAAGCTAGCTCTGTCCAGATGAAGAGGCAACACGAGAACGTCTTCCTTTCGTACTTCAAAATAAACCCAAGGTGTTGACCTTAAATCAGTCACCTACACACAAGGAGATATTATAAGTAGCTTAGTCTTCCCTTTGTGTTTTGTGGTACTGTATTTCTTCTCTCCGTCTAGAAAGAGCTATAATTAATTAATGCTAACTCATCTTGGTTGCACATGCAAATTTATATACATCAACGTAGCCAAGACTTTAATGTTGCCGTCTAAAGTATCCCTTTCAAATAATTTGAACTAAGGTGTTGCAAACTCTTCCCAGGTTTATCAAATCCAACACAGATGCAGATGTTCTACAAATATTTGAAGAAAAAAACGTGAGGGGTTGATGATTAGGAGTTAGGCTCTGCTTCCGGACACCAAGACATTTTGGACGACTTAATGCTCTGAACTTTGTGGGACGGTCCCCTCCTGTTCCAACGTCACTGCAGAGCAGTGCACCAGGCAAGGGCCACAAAAACGTGGATTATCTAGATTAGTGTGGAGGAAGTCCTGACAGAACACTTCCTGGATGAATTAGACCTGAGACTGCGATCCAAAGCGTCTCATCCAAATTCAGCATCTAACCTCACAAATGCAATTTTGAAAGAATGATCAGAAACGACCGCAAACACAGCAAAAACTGTGTTTTTGCTGTGTTTGCAAAAACATCAGCGGTTTGTTCCTTGAGTTCATATATTCACATTTACCTACAGGCCGACAAACAAATCATTTTGGCATTATAGTCAAAGAAAAACTAGAAAAAAGCTTAATCACAAGAAAAACAAACGTCATCTCTCGGCGTTTATGCTCGTCAGTCACATTCCCTGACAGAGACAGACTACATTTCCCATGACACCCATGTGATTCTGCCAGGGCATCGTGTTCTCTTTGCCCCGTGGCTCTCGTCCTGACCGGGTCATCATTGCCCTGTGCCGGCGTTGAGGGCCGGGGGTCCCGTCACGGCTTCCTGACAGCTCACTTCTGGACCGCGTGCGACTTCCTGTCGTACGGCTCGCTCCCGTCTCTGCTTTCGTGCGCGCTCCAAACAGCGAAGCCCTTCGTCACATTTGTATTGCCGGAGTAATAAAACAACAGTTGGCTGGCAAGCAGAGCCGCCGCTGCTGACAGTATTGATATTTGCAGCTGAGAGCGCCGCGGACCTGACCACACAATATGCTGTGCAGCTCAAGCAATTTCGTTGTGTTCCAACCAAGGGGAGGACAATATGTTCCCTGAAAATACGGCCGCGTGCACCGGGGTCAGCACAAAGGAAAATTTGACATCGCGGCCTACATCCTGCCGAGGACGCGGATGGCCGCATTCACCGACCGAGACATCACACGGTTTAGCTCAAAGCCAAAAGCATCGAACGGAGCAAATAGAGAGAGGCATGTGGCTGTTGCCATGGGGACCAACAGAAAAGCAGAGTTTATTAAAGACATCAGTCAGTCTCTAGCAAAAAAGAAAGAAAAAAAAAAACCCCTAGCATCAGGTGTTTGGCTGTGCTGTGTGTTGTACAGAAAGGAGCAAACAGAGAGATTAATATTCCAAAATGCATTTCAAATACTTTGTTTTCATTTTGCAAATTGATTTTAACTTCAAACAATTAATCCTTTTCATGAGTTACATTTGCAAATAGATCTGCTAAGATACCTGCTGCAGTGCAAATTCTCTTTGCCACAATCTGTTTCAATTATGGCAAAATCAGGCTTCGTTTGTAGCAATAACATGGCAGCTGATGTTTGAGATTCGCTTTTGAAGTAAATGAGAGCGGCTCAGGTTTACTTACACATAGAAAGGTCAAACAAAAGGTCAGATTTTAGGCTCAACAATGTCCTTTTTTTGTTCCTTTTTGTTTATACTCCAGGAGTGAATTCATACTTTCGCCTCATGACGCAAGATGTAACAGCAGATCGGACTTATAGAAAATGAGACAAAACGAGATTATAGTAATATTGTGGAATTTTTTTTTTCATAATTTTTTTTACAGAGATATTACCGCCAAATGTTGTAATAACTGGCTAAACTTCCTTCACCTGATAAAAATCCCATCCTGACACCAGCTGTGTATCACGTCTTCACACATTCTTTTCTTCAGATTCTTCACATACGGTTGACCCCTGGTATTTGGGGATCACAGCTAACTTTAAAATCCACAAACACTTGAGGCCTTCTCTAAAAAAAACGCTTCCAATTACCTATTTTAATTTTCCATACACCAAATATAGCTCAATATGCATCGACATGCACAGTGGAAACTGTCTTCAAATATCTACAGCCAATCAACACCAAAGAAAATAATCAGCATTCCTGGAGTTTCTGCTGTGCAGAAGCCAGACGTTAGCATGTCAAACAGGTAGCTATTAGCTATTTCAGCTCAACAGGCTGTTTTCTTTCAAATATTTTTGACATGCTCTACAAAAAAAGAATAGGCTGATTGTCTGCGAGTCATTTCTGCATCCCAGAAAAAAAAAAAAAAAAAAAAAAAAAATCCACGAATGGGTGAATCTGAAAACCTCGAACCGCAAATGACAGGAGGTCCGCCGTACACCTTCAGCTCGGCCGAACCTCCTACATCCGCTGTGTTAGGACGGCTTACCGATGAGCTCCTTGTTCCGAATGTCCAGAGCCATGTTCCTCAGGGCCGTGGCCACGGCGCAGACCACCCGGTCGTTGTCTATCCTCAGTAACTCCACCAGGATGGGCAGGCCCTTCTCTTTGCGCACCGCGGCTCGGATGTAGACGGACCACTGGACAATGGGGCGATGAAAAGACGTGGACAGAAATAGAATCAAAGATTTGCAACACTTTCATTTGGTGCCAGTTATTATAGGACAAGTGTTAGCCGCATAGACCGTTGTTGACATTGACAGGTACCCCCTGTGACGGGGATGTCAAACTCATTTTCGTTTTGGGCCAAATCAAGATCACGAATGCTCTTAAAGGGCCGGTTGGGCCCTTTAAGAGCATTGAACATCTTCTCAGTCCCTCTGGGATTTCGTGATTCATCTTGTGATGTTTTGCAATAAAAAACAAAGTTGTTTGTGATACTAACTTGGAAATATTTGCAATATTTGCACTTATTTATGACGATAAATGCAACTTTTTATTATTTGCTGCATGGACTATAATCTGACATCAATTAAGGCAGAGGCAGCTGTTTACTACAAGTAATCGTTTTTGACAGAAACCACGTATTAGCGCAAAAAGTGCGGGGATTTGTTGATTTGTTGAATTTCCATGATATTTCTCAAGAAACTGGAGGGACTGATTGGTATCATTTGGCAGTAAACGCATAAAAATGCATTAATTTGATTGAAAAAGTATTTAAGCACATTTAGTGTTTGGTCTAGATGTTAAGTTGTAAGTAGCATACTGCGCATGTGTTGGATGTAAAGTAATGGGAGGCGGGGCTACAACTGTAGTTTTTCATTCGGTAGTGAGAGGAGCGCGGGAGCGCATGATTTTAACTGTTAACTATTAAAGTGTGGATACTAAAATCAGTTGTGTGATTATTGAGTCAACACTGGAATCTAGAGGGCCACATAAAAAGCTATGGCGGGCCGGATTTGGCCCGCGGGCCTTCAGTTTGACACATGTAATCGTATGCTTACAATTAAGTGATGATAATGACTGCATTATCATCACTTTTTTTCCAGTTAGCTTTGATGAAAACCATCAAGGTTTCTTTTATTTGAAAGCGACTTAGAGTTTTTCCTCTCTACTAGAACTGCGAGCTCCTCTCCTCTCTTCTTTTCGATGCTGCTCGGTAAGAGAATGGCGGCTCTCACCTTCCAGCTGCCGGCGGCCAGGTTCTGCAGAGCCCCAGCTGCTCCCTCCAGGGTGTCCGGGTTGGAGCACTCGGACAGCAGCGTGAGGTAGGGCTTGACGATGGTGGGGTGCCATAACATCTGGATGCCTTTCGGAGGCTCAGCCAAGTCCGGGAAGGGCCCGACGCCGTCCCACTGCAGAACGACAAGGCAGCGGCTCAGAACGGAGGAGCAGTCGCGAGTTCTCGCGTATCTGAGGGGCCCGGCGGCGCTCTCCATGGGCAAAAGCAGCAAACGAGAAGGAGAGGATTTCCTTGTTTCATAAGGCGCCGATAAACGAGGCGATGCTCATCTGCTGCTTGAATCGGATGAACTCTTGAGTGCTGATGACGCGTTCATGACATACCTCAGAAAATGTTGGTGCGAGGCTGGAAAAACATGGATTTCCCGAGACTGTGCATTCGCTAAACAGAGTAATGATGAGTTCATAAGAAGCTGTAACCTGCCGTGTTTTTAATAATGGAGTGATAAAGCTGTTGTATCTGTCTGGCTGTAAGTTGCATGGCTCTCCATTGTGCAGTGTGAGGGAGAAACGCTTAAAATGTAATAAATATGAATCTGAAAAGTGTGGCATGGATTTCCATCCAGTCACCCTGAATCAATAAATCTAAAACAAACTTTAGATGCAACAAAAGCTGCTGTCAAATTGCGGTGCATCTCTCTGCACTCCTAGGCGGTTTTTTCTTTTTATAAAAGAAAAAAATTGGAGAGTTAGTGTCCACATTACTGTCACAGACACTCTAGCGGATTTATACATGAACTTTGACTGGGCCATTCTAACAAATTATTATGTTTTGATCTGAAGTGTGTTCAGGGAAACATCCAACCTGGTCTCAAATCCTTGGCACCCTCGAAAACGTTTTGCTATGTAGCTGATTAGTGAGTCAAACTTCATTAATGTGACACATGAAAATAAATAAAATAAATAATAAATAAAATAAATGTTCGTTTAAATTCCAATGAACATTTGACACCGGAGCAAAACGATCAAAACGACGGAAACGGCAAATAAAATGAATTATGAAAAGTCTGCAAACAAAATGGTCCTTCAATTTTGCACCCAAGGACCAAACTGAATACATTTGTCATCCAGCTTTTGGTGGAAAAAGAGAAAAGAGAAAAATGATAAATTATGCCAATGGAAATTATTGAGCTTGTTCTAATTAATTGATTTATGGGTTAATGTGACAGACCAAGCAGTTATTTGTTAAAACCAGACAAAATTCAGATTTTTCTCCCATTTTACTAGTACATACTCATTTGTGCTGGTCTTGCACTAATCTGGAAACAACTCTGATGATGTCACCCCCCTCTCTAATGCTCGAATAATCTTGCAAACTTTATCTTGCGATACCTTTTTGCAGATTTACCTGAGGATATTGTTTAAGTTTAGTATGTTTTCCTGCCACCCTCTAGTGAATGTCGTGTCATAATCTTCTCGGCTTTGCTTCTGCAGACGTCTCCGTCTCTCTGTCCGCTGATGCAACACGATATCAGCCCATCTTATTTTCATGTGACCAACGTGTGATAGCATCCTTCGCTGCATCTGTAACCCCGCCAAGCGCTGCTGTCCATCTTTAGCCGCTCCTCGTGCCTTTAATCTGATTTCGCTGCTGCTCCCTCTTTATCGTCTCCTGTCTCCTCCTCCTCCACTTCCTTTCCCTTCCTCTCCTCTAATTGCCCCGCAGTTGTTGGAGTTTTGTCCTCTCCGGCACACACACTCCCTAATCGCTGCTTCATGGTAATCGCCTGCAGCTGCACTAGAGTGGTGACGACGCACAGACAGAAGGGAGAGAGAGCGATGGATTTTTTTTTTTTGAAGAGGTTATGATCTATCCCTACTTCAATATGATCATTAGGACCCGCCGTCCTCCCCCACAAGCAGAAAAAGACGTTTGCATGGAGAAAATCCAGCAAACAGAAGGTAATGAAACCCGAGTCCCAAAACCGGTTTCATAAATCTCAGCCAGATTCAGAAATGATTGGCAGAGGAGATGGTTGGGGGTGGAAGAAAAAAAAAAAAAGTCATGCAAGGAGGATGAGCAATTCAAACACAGGAAACGGCGTATTTTCAGTTCCCACAGCTACACTGGAAGTGGTTAAAAAAAAAAAAAAAAAAAAAAAAAAAACATCCTCCACTCAATCAGAATGATACTGATTGCTTATTTGCATGACAAGAGGGCGGAGCTCGTCGATCTCTTGCTTCTGCCTCTCAGCTGCGTGGAGGATAACACTCGAGGAATCCAGAGAGAGAGAGAGAGAGAGAGAGAGAGAATCAGCCTCACAGAAATCAGAGCGCAGGCAGCGAGCAGACTAAACCAAAACACTTAGACGATGCAGAGCCTTTAAAAAAAAGTTAAAAAAAAAAAAAAGGTCCACTCTCACAACATGCTGTGCGGACGCGACTCGGCGTTTTGTAACAAGTGTAGTGTGTGACTGTGGAGTGGAAAGGAAGCGAGGCGTGGCTCTCAAACGTTTTCATGTTCAAACATCTCTAAATAAGATCCAGGAAAACTAGTTGTTTCCAAATTCAAAATACTTCACTGATTCCAAAGGGGGAATTAAATGTTTTTTGTAAATCAACGTCTGCAGAGTTACTGTAGACAGTAATGCCTGTTAGCAGGAAAGATCTATTCTAGATCCTTAGATCTACAATAACCAGAACCTGTTTATCCAGTTTGATGTTGGACTATCATACGACATTTGATGAAATGTTAAAGTTTGTGGTTGCATGGTGAGAAAAATCTGGAAAACAATTCAGCAGGAGTGAATATTGTTTCAAAGGCGCTCTATGTTTATTACATCCTGATTCTGCTGTGGAATAACAATATAATGTTACTGTAACGCGTTATAGCTCTGGCACCAAATAATGCTGAATACACTAAATGAGTCAGATGTAAAAGAATAGAGGCTCAAACAACATAATATCTAAATAACAGAATTAACTGAAAATCTATTTATGATACCAAAACCAAACAAACAAACAAAAAAGAATCTCTGATGAACTAAACAAATACTGCTGAGACATCACAGAAGAACTCAGATATTTAGAGAGGAAAATAAAAAAAAGCTGTGATGAGTCCCAGTTTGCAACAAGCATCATCATAAAAACTTGATGGGCTTCAAGAGCAAAAAGAACATTTAATGCGTCATTAAAAAGTTAACGTTACAGTTAAAATTCGATGATGCTTGATGTTAATGGGGAGCAGAAGAGGAAGCGAGGCGGATAACGGCGCGGTGGCGGGCGAGGCTGGAGATGGTGAGACGTGTCAGAAACGAGGCCAGAAGGCACTGCAGCCATCAGAGGACAATGAAAGAGTTCCCCAAAATGGAGAATGTGTGTTAGTTTCTGGGGTTTTTTTTATGTTTTAACATGAACACTCATCAATGAATTCAGCTGTTGGGGGCTGTGCTGATGAATATTTAAAGTAAAGCGTTGCTGCAGTCCGTATCTTATCCAGACAGTTTTTTTTTTTTTTTAGCTTTGTTTGTACATTTGAACCTAAAACCTTTGAGCTCTCGTTCAACATGGTGCCTAAAACACACTGAAAGTTGCTAAATTGCTCTTTACACAGTTTGGACTTTATTTAATGAGGGGTAAGGATACGTGGATCCACTCTTCTGCATCTTTTCTTTATCTTGAGTTTATTTTATTTAAAGGCTTTGCATAAAGTGAAATATGTCATTATCAGCTTTTGTTACTAATAGTAAGTAATAGTTTTACTACAGTTAACTTTTCACTTTTACTAGAGTAATATTTGTATGATGCATCGCTACTCTTACTTGAATAAAATTTCTGGATAATCTACCCACTAAGTAACTTCAATGAAGGAAGAACAAGCACAGATACAGTTTGTATTCAAGTGAAATCTCTTGTTTGCATAAAAGCTTCATGTTGTTCTGATGGTTTTCTTTTTTGTTATCTGCTAAGCCCGTTCTGCCAATCACAGGTCAAATGATTAGACGTAATCGTCACTGGAATTGACTGAATTTAGCGATAAACGAGAAAGATAACTTACAGATAATTTGCGGTTTGCAAAAGTTCAGACGATAAAACTTCTGAAATCAACCAAATCTAGCTTGTTCTTCATCCACTTCCCAGTTTTTTCTAAAGGTTTTATCAGCTCTAGTGGCCTTTAATTGATAGTTGATTGACAGGAAAGTGGGTAATGAGAAATGGGGAAGACATGCGGCAAAGGTCGTCAGGCCAGGAATCGAACCTGCGACGACGGCGTCGAGGACTGAGGCCTCCAGATGTGGGTTGTGCTTAACCCCTGCGCCACCATAGCACACACCCACTTCACAGTTTTGCCTCAGCCTGTGTTGCAGCGCGCCGTGTAACCATGACTTCCACAAACGAAATGAATCATACGCTTCTTTTCTAGCAGGCGATTGGGACGAAGGAGGCGAAGGAGGCGTGGGGTCCTGCGTGGCTGGAGCCAGTTTGATGGCGACCTTGCCTTGTGGTCTGGTGCTGCAATAGGAGGTGGAAAGCGTGAAACCTGGCCACCTTCACGCTTACGGCCTGACGTTTGTGTCAGATCACCGTGTAAATAAGAGGCTGCCCTCGGGTTGTTGGCAGATCAGATACACGCATGTCATTTAGTGAGCAGTCCTGAGCTCACTGAAAGCCGGGTTGTAGCTGATTGTTTCTGCTGTATCATTATTTAATCACACAATTTATTTGTTTTTTAAACGTAGCTGAAAGGTGCCTCTGCTCTGACCCTTTTAACTCTGCTTACAAAATGACTTTTTTTGCATTAAACACACAAATTTATTTTTTTTTCTTCTTATGTACGATTATAAAAGTGTAACCCAGTAAGTAAATCGTCCAACTGCGTGCTTCTTCCAGTGCCAGTCAGAAGTTTACATACACTCACTATGGGTATGAATGTCATGTTAATTTTAGCTTTTATTTAAACCGACTTTATTGTTATAAACTAAAGATTGAGTACACATAACTTATAACAATAGAGATTCAAATACAGACATGCAGCCAAAACAGATTCATGTCCCTCATTGCTCTTTGTAGCCATAAGTGAAGTCCTTGCATATTTAATCTCTCTTGTCGTCAGTAATGATGCAGCTAACTTGACTAGCTTGGTTTCTTCATGCATTTTCAACAGGCTAATCCATTCTGGTTAATGTTGACTTGCTTTATCCGTTCCTGAGCAACCATTTTGTTTTTATTGCTTTCCTAAGTCAGATCCTTACAGGCGTTGTTTCGTCGCTCTTTCCTGTATAAGAACTTCATTGTTCAGTTTAGTTTTATGTCATTGTTCTGCTTTCTGATAGACCATCACACTTTCCTGTTGGAAAAACCAATCGTATAAAACATTGTTTCAAGTCGAACTTTATGCTGTCGTTACATCATCTGCTTTGTGCAACGATCCACCAATGGTTCTACCGCCGCCAGGCTCGGCAGTCGGCCTGGTAAGTCTCAGTCTGACTCGTCCAAAAATGTCCGTCTTCAGTGTCTACTAAAAAAAAAAAAAAAAAAGCATTTGGCTTTTCCACGTTGGTTGCTACAAATTTCAGCCAAACACATTTCGGCTTTCTATTCCTTCGGTCTGCTCAGGAACAGCAGAAACCTAACGACTTGTTCCAAACTACAACCAACAGATGGAAAAGAAATGGGTCGTGACATGAAGTTTCTGGAATGGAAAACACCTGAACCACACAAGGAGTCGAAGTCGTCTCTGTGTCAGGTTACAAACTATTTTAAATGAGGTTTGCCAATTCTGATAGGAAGAGTGAGCAGTGTTATGCAGGGGTTTTAGTGGACCACTGTCCAAGTGGTGTGGTTCCGTCTTTATCCCAATGTCAGTCTCTGAAGTTGTACCTTGAAAGAGAAGCAATGACCTGTGGGCTTATAGAACAAATAAGGGTTGTGTGTAAACCTCTGACTTTCATTGTTTGTTCCAGTTATGGATGACGCTTCAAATATCCATTTGTTTTTTGTTTTTTTTTCTGCTGGAGTCATTTGTTTGAGGTCTTTATAAATAAATTAACTAATCTCTCGAGTTGAAGGCCTGGCGCCCAAAGCAAGCCGATATGTACTTGCTACTTGCTTTTTCTCCCCCTTTAAGCTTTGGAGAGAAAACACATCATGTTCAGTGAGAAACCCTTGGTTTTGCAATAAATAGTACAAAAAATAAAAAATAAAAAAATAAAAAAATTTGAATATGTCTAGAGGAACTCGGAGGAGAGTCATGAATAAATAAAAACGTGTGCGCAGCTCAGACACCAAACGGGGAGAGGAACCTGCTTCAAACGAAAGCCACTTCTAATGCGCGTCCTGCGTATCTCCTCACCTGGTCGTGACCCTTCTTTTTCTTCTTCTTCTTCCCCCAGCACCCAGAACTCTCTGCGTCCTTGCCGCCGGTGTCGCACAGCAGGCCGTCCAGCTCCTCGGAGCCGCCCTGCTGGCTGTGCGACGTCTCCGCAGCCAGACGGTAGGACAGGTTCCTCAGGATGCACACGCAGTTCTCCACAGTCTGCAGCAGGAAAAGGTTGGACGGGAGGGGAAAGTGAGGAGGAGACGAAGGAGGCGCACGGTGAGACACGCCGCAGAGATCACACGCACACTAATCCTATTGTTGAGAGTGGCAGAGCAGTCAGCAGTCACAGACTTTGATCTTTTGGAGGATTTAAAAGAAAAATAAAATAAAAATCATCCAGAGAAGAGGTGACTCAGGGAACACGCAGGGAGGCATCAAGTAACCAACGATGTTTCTGTGTCAGAGTTTGGGCCGAGTAACAGAAAGAAGTTTCATTTCTAAGCAAAGACTTCTCATGTCTAGTGTGTTTTATAATGTGCATATTTATTAAATATTTTCTTACTCCAGATTAAGTAGCTGTTTTTTTTTTTTTTTACAAAAGTTGCACACTGCAGGTTTAAGCATCAAGTCCTGCATATAAAAACAACCACAGCCTGATTCTGCTACGGCCACATTATACTGTCTAGACACTGCTAATTTTCTTCTTTTTATCTCATCTGACTATGACATGCATTTATATTTGTATTTTTTTCTTCTTTCCTTTAAGCTATTTGTCTATTTGTCATCCAAATAGACAAATAGCTGCCAGTTTTAAACAGCGACAAGTCACACAAGCACACTGTATTCTACTCACGCAGGTATGAACCAGATTATTAATAGTATGCGGAGTGTGTGTGTGTGTGTGTGTGTGTGTTTCTGCATCACCTTGCTGTCTATCTCGCTGCTCCCCAGAGCCGTCTGGATGACGTAAAGCAGGGCATCTGTGAGGCCTTCGCACTCCCTCATCCTCCTCCGCGCTTCCTCCCCGGCAGAACTCACGTTCCTGTTTCACACAGAGACACAGACGGACACAAGTTCACGATCTGCCGCATGTCGACAATGTACAGAAAAGAAGGGAAAGCTCTGCACGGCGATGCAGACGTGGTTGAAAATGTTTGTTTTCACATATTTTGCATCAGCGATGTTGACTCTTTGCAGCTACGTCACTCGAGGCGCCGCGATGGACGTCAGAGGTGAGAGACGAGAGTAATGAACAGAGCGACTGAAACCGTTTTTCCAAGTTTAGCAGTGGCTCCTACTTGTTCGAGTCGAGCTAAGTTGTCTGTGAATGTAACGCACCTGGTTGGGGGTTGAGGGGGTCAGAGTAGTTCCCACAACTTGGACTCAAGTAAGAGTAGAGATACTTAAGCATATTTTTACTCAAGTAAAAATTAGCCATCCAAATATGACTCGAGAAAAAAGTGTCTGTTAAAAAGACCCAAGTACAGAGCAGCTAATCAAATGATCATCTAATGTTTAAAAATGACATCATCAGATGGACAAAAATATATATTTAACTGGAAATTTGGGTATTTTAAGGACCAACATGACAACAGTTCATACAAAATAACAAAATCAGACCAAATAAAATGTTTCCAAATAAGATTCTTTCGATAAAAAGCTTATGAAACTTTAACACAAACTGCAGGCGTGAAATTTTACTCAAGAGAAGTGATACTTCAAAACAAAAGGAAGTAAAAGTAAAAAGTACAAAGCAGTGAAAAATATTCCTAAAAATACTTTATTTATTTTCAAAAAAGTTACTCAAGTAAGTATAATTGAGTAAATGAAACTATAGTTACTACCCAGCTTTGCTTAGGGCTCATAGACGGTTTACTGTTTTACTAAAGTTTGAGCTAACTAGCTTAGCAACCGACCCAAGTTGTCTAACAACTTCCTACATAACTGGCTACAAAAGAAGAAAATCAGAAATCTGATTTTTCTTTTATGCTGGCGTTAGTCAAATTGATGTAAAATAATTGTCAAGCCTGTATGATGACCATAGCAAAAACATCAGGCTTCACACACTTTTCATGCCAAAATCTGGCATCAGAAATCAGATTTTCTGAATCAGATTTCCAAGAGGAAGGAAAAAGAGGAGGGAAATTTGACGGATGTCAAGTCTTGACCAATCCAATGAGAGAAACATTTAAGCTATTCTATGGCAAACATTTGGTTTGTAGTTATTCAACTTTTTATGAAACAGAAGACAAGAGGAATGAAAGCAATCCTGCTTTTTTCCCTCATTCCCTCTCCAGTGGAACCAGGACCGATTAGTCTGCACGCCTTCCTCTCTTTACCCAAATCTGACAACATCAGAAGAGTTCAGACTCACCTGCTGATCCAAAACCGGTGGGCATCTGTATGCAGACGTCGTTTTGGCATGACAGATTTATGAGAAGTCTGACTGCATTAGTGGAAAACCAAGTGGGAAATGGGAAGGTGTTGTAGCGTTCTGTTCAAGTGAGGCAGCTGCTTTTGATTCTAACAACCTCAGTTTGTTTTCTAAAGTCAAATAACTGCCTAAAAAAATAAAAAAAAATCGATGTTGTTGACAAACTGTACTCCTCTGAGTCTGCATCTACCCCCGGTTGTTATTTACTTCGAGTCGTGATGCAAGTTCACCAGAACACACACACACATACACACAGCAGGACACTGTCAGAAAGCTGCTGCATAACCTGTTCAGTGAACAACATGACAAAATCAGAATAAACAGCCACCTGAAACATCCAAATTGTAACAAAAAAGATCCACTTTCAGCTGGCTTTAAGCATACGATTTCTCCAATATTAGATTTGGTCTCCTGTCTATTAATAGGCTGAAATTAATTACCCTCAGTCGGTTAGAGGTAATGAATTCCAGTGAAGTGATTCCTTCGCAATGAAGCCGAGCTGCAAGATTATCTCTCATTATTTGATCTTTAAGCGTAGAGGATCAAAATAACAAGGCAGATAAGAAATTACACCCAACAGATAACTCCGTGGCTAAAAGTGAGCTTCTTTTCACTAAAATGAAAATGTGATTTAACTCTTAACGTACTGCTACCACGGGAAAAAAGAAAAATCTCTCCATCCATTTTGAATAACTGTGCAAAGCAGAGGCCCAACATGGTGAGATTTGCTTAAAATGAGGTTTTCCAGCAGGAAATGCAGTGAATGGCTGCACACATCCAGAAGGAAACATGGTACCATTTCATTTCATGGGGTCGTTCGTTTGTCTGCAATCTTACTCTGTGAAACACAAAATCCTCCACAGGCAGCTTTCTGTGAAGAACCCTGCTGCCATGCTGTGGTCTCAGATTTGACTAGACTAGAGCAGGTGCTGATTCAGAGCTGGGATGGTTGGGTCTGTTTACGGAAGGTTTCTCTGTAAGCGATGACAGGAAAAGACCTCGAGGGGTTTTTATTTTTTCTTTTGCACCTGCCTTTGCGGCTCATTTTTAAACAGACACATTTAACTCCTAGAAGTATGTTTGCGAAAAGACATTTGCGAGAACAGAAGGCGTTGGTTTGTATGATTTCTATGTTTACATCTCAGTGCTGGTCCTGCGTACGTGAACAACGAAGTCCAACGAAGAGCATCGTGTGGCCAAACAGACTTGAGTTTTGCCGATTGTTAAAAATGATAATACTGTTGCGATCGCTGGCTTTTACACATCATATCTTGATCATTCATACTGAACTCACACTGTCCAACTCAAACATAGATTTTGACTTCCTTCCTGTCATATTTTTGCACTCAACACAGGATCTAAACACGACATCCAGGTTAAACGGACAAAAAAATACAGTCATTAATATTCAAACCGCTACAAAGTTGCAAAACAGTTTTTACAAGTTGTTTAAAACTTTGAAGTTTTACTTCTAGTGGTTTGCAAGCTGGGATTTAGGTTTTTTTTTTTTTAGTGTACAAAATCATTGAATAATTCAACAGAAAATAAGGTTCTGCATCCTGGTCCATACTTTACAGCAAGAAAACCTCACGGCGAAATGAAGCCAGGCAGCGTATTAAAGATTCAAGGTCGGCGTTCCTATACGTGATCTGGTCCGACTGTGTTAGTTTACCTAAGGGCTGTAAAGTGACGTGCAAACTGTTGCAGTGGAAATGGGGCTAATAAAGACAGCAATTTGTTGCATTTTTAATAACAGAGAGCCTCTCTAATCTGCCCAAGCAGCATGTTAAAAAAGGCCTGATGATTCCTAAAGGAGTGAAAGCCTCCAAAAGCTCAGAATAAACGGGTTCATATGCTCCTTATTAGCCGCTGGGGCGTTTGTGTCGCATCTGCCCCGTTCTCTGCGCAAAACTCCAGATCTTCTTGTTAGCTGACACAACAGGAGGGAGGCGGTGAGAAACGGCAGAGCAAAAACGGCGAAAGGGAGAGGGAACGGCAGAAGGGAAAACGGATAAAAGAGGGCATAATACGATGGAGAAGGAAGTATCGGGATAATGTGACGAGACGGAGAGAGAGAGAGAGAGAGACCAAAGAGGGGGTAAATAGAGAGAGGGGAAAATGAGAAATTGCGGATGATAATTGGAGACGGAACGAGCGAGGAAAAAGAGAGAGCAGGTGGCCTGCGATAGACCAAACCCGCCATGAAATATTCAATCTTTAATCAGACTCCCAGCATTCCCTAACGAGGCGTGAGAAGGATGAATTAGGCCTTCGAGTTTGGGGAGCTGAGCGGCTCAAAGTTATCTCGCACCGACACGCTCGCCAACAGACTCAGTATCACACACGCACCACTGTACCAGATGTGTCCTTTTTTTTATCCCCACAAGTGTACAGTGACGAGATTAATGAGCCGCACGTGGTTGGACGGAGAGACAAACAGAAAACACACACACACACACACACAGTCAGTCAGTCAGTGTCCTGCTGAGTGTGTTTGTCTGTGGAGAATGAGACGGAGTCGTGCTCAAGACACTATTTTCACCCAAATTCTGCCCAGTTTTTATCCTGAAATATGCAGAAAGACTCTCCTTCAGGGATCCTGCACATTTTTTTTTTCATATTTTTCAGACTAAACGTGAAAAAAATTATTTTCAACAGGAAGTAATGGGGCATATCTTTTTTTTCTTTTCTTTTTTTTTTTTACAAGTCAGGCTTTAAATATGAAACCTGCACAAAACCACAGACAGGAATGAAGGATAAAGAAAAAGAACAAATGGATGGATGGATGGATGGATGGATGGATGGATGGATGGATGGATGGATGGATGGATGGATAAACAGGTTGAGACCTGAATGGAGGGACGGATGGAAGAATTGTTGGATTTAAAAGCTGATTTTTTTTTTTTTTTATGAAATATTGTTTTGTGAGAATGTCTCACCAGAAAACCTGTTGGAAAATACAGGCAGCAGTTAGCTAATCTACAAAGGTGTGGCAGAGTGGAGTTTCGTATTTTAGATTAATAAAAATGAATGAAGACATTTTAAAGAGCTAAATGGTTGCTTCCCCATTTAAGTGTGTGCTGTCACCTGTAAAGTGGTTGCAGAACTTGTTCATAGCACACTGCAAGTCTTTCTAAAAAAGGACAGGAAGGCAGCTTTGATGTTATGTGACATTATATATTTTAAAAGTGGAGATACTCTCAACCTAAAGGCTAAATTATAACAAAACTTGGAGCCCACTGCACTGAACCCCACTGAAAACCTCATGGTTTTTCCACCAGATGTTGATTTCTGAACTCTTCCTGAGTTAAAACATTAGTATTGTTGTTTCTGAATTAATATGAACTTGTTTGTTTACATATTTGAGGTCTGAAAGCACTGCATCTTTTTTTTTTTAACCATTTCTCATTTTCTGCAAATAAATACAACATTTTTGCTTGGAGTTTCAGAGACAGTAGTTCATATAATAAAAGAACAGTGTTCATTTTACTGACGGTCTCTATCAGCCCCACATTTTCCAAATCGCACTGCACAACCAACGAGAAACCGAGCAGCTACGCTGGTGAGTCATCAGAAATGTAGCAAAGTCTTTCAGTTTTCTGAGTGTTGACTGGTAAAAAAAAGATAAATAAAAAAATAACACTGAATGTTTTCTAAAAATATATGACTGTGTTATATATAGTCTGACACACTCTTTTCTGTTTGGGTGCTTAATAAGAGAGAGGAAAAAAAGAAGAAGCAGAAGAAGAAGAAGTGTACAACAAAACAAGCTCTACAAAGCGTCAGCTAGAAATCTGAGGCGCAAGATGGAGACAAAAAACAGAAAACTGACCGGAGGCAGCCTGTGGCGTTGCGGAGGACCTGGGAGGAGTGCAGGTGAAGCTTGCGGTCCTCCTGGGTGTGGGGGGACGTGTCCCAGCCCGAGTGCGGGATGATCACGGCGTTGGTCAGCACGGCCAGGGCGTCCTGGATGATGGGCATCTTCAGGGCGTCGCACGACGACAGGTTCCACAGAACGCCTGCGGACGGAGCAGAGCAGAGATGGAGGAGAACGGAAAACATGCAGGAAGTCGAACCGCACACCTGGAGCCTTTGAAAGACCTCAGTGTGGACTTTGACCTACTGTTCATGTCTACTACCAGTTTAATATAGAGATCAATATCAGAGCCATATTGGAATTGTTAAATTGCCAATACAACAAACATTTAGCACTTATAATCGCAGATTATGATGATGTCGGGTAAGAATCGATTTCCCAATTTCAAAACCTATCAGGGGTTGAGCACAAAAGTCTAGAAGTATGGCCCATTAATAATTAGAATGATGTGAATACAGACAGACATGCAGCTCAGCAATACACCTTCCATATATTATTAGTGCAAAGCTTTTATTACTGCTCCTTTTTAAATGGAAGGATGCTCTGTGCAACAAGTGCTTGGAAACTACAACTACATTTCCAGGGGTTTTATTTTACAGATTTTAGGGATTGGCTGGCAACTGATACAAAATAATGGAGGTTCAGGTATATTATGCTATATAGTTCATGACATGATGCAATGACCAAGACTCTCAGGAGAAACCACAGAGGCCCAACAAAGAAAAGCAGAAAATATTTTGTAGGTTTTGACCTCTTTCTTCTGTGGGACATGCTAGGTTTTAGAAACGCTAGCAGCCATTTAAAAATTTCTGGAGTTAGTTCTACAGGAAATCAATGAATACATTTTAGAACAACAGGTGTTGGTGCAATAAGAACAGTTTTTGCTTTTCTGTTTTAAACAAAAAAAATATTGTTTTACAACTGTGCAAATATCATTAATTTGTTAAAATTGGGAAAGCATGACATTGGGTTTTTGGTCGATATCCAATATGCCGATATACTAAAACTCATTGAGCCGATAACCAATACCAATATCAATAATCTTTTTTCCTATAGCTACTTACTGAAACTATACGATTTTCTCTACTTTGGATTAAAATACTGCATTATCTTCGTCAATTTAGCCTCTACCTGCTACTTAAAAGGTAAAAAATGAGGCCGAAAACGATGCAACACTTTCAACTTGCATCATGTTTAATGTTAAATTTATTCATGACATTTGCTCTCTATGACAACACTCAAACATTGTGCTGTTCTGCAGGCGTCATTGTCTCATAAAAACAACAGCTTTTATATCGGTGAGTTATTCTGATGTAATGGCCGATGTCCGATATTAAATTTTACTGCTAATATCGGCCGATATTGATGCCATGCTGATAATATCGTGCTCCCTTATTTAAAATATTGCCCAAGTCTGCCGCTCTGCATCTTTTTGAGTGTCTATACATTAAAATATACTGTAATATTATCAGAAGGTGACACCCAAACTCAATACTAAACACCATTTCTTTAAACAACACAATAGTGTGTGTTCATTTGAAAGAAGTGCAGACACTGAATGAAGAACCGCTGCAGCTTCCCCCATCCCTCCTCTTAATTCTCTCCTGAATTCAGCATGTAGCGACCAGCCAACCAAGAAAGTGGAGGTTTTTCTCCTGCCTACCAATTACCGTCCACCCTTACCGCCGGCCGCCACAAACTACAAAACACTTTTGACCAAAACGGACAAAAAAGGTCTCCTTTCCCTGGAGAATACCTCTCTCCTTGTTTGGACGACACGTACGCTGAACGTTTTAGAAAAAAAAAAAAAAAGGGGCGAGGACAACGAGGGCAAGAGGGAAATCACCGTATTTTGCCATTAAACACTCCGACTTCCTGAGTGTCACAAATGCGCTTGTTCGCACACAAACGACGAAAATGTTGATGCAGGATGTCGTCGCTCTCTCGTTGACCTTCATCTTACAATCTTTGTATTGGTGTAATTACATGTTTTTCCTTTGTGTGTCAGCCCGTAGTCCTATCTGTACGTATCGGGCCCGTTCCTTTATGACAGTAATTACAGCCGTGGTGGCGATGCTTCCTTTCTGTCTGAGCGTTTAACGCGTCTGGAGCGAGGCGTCCCGCTCTTCAGGCCTCTTGCTGTTCACCCTTGGTTCAACAGTGCCGGCGTAATTACAGCTCTTCTTATCTGTAAAAAGGATTTTTTTTTGCCCCCATCATGAGTGTGTGTTCATTTATTTTATTTTATTTTTTTAAGTGTGAATTGCATCTAAGCCCCTTGACAAATCAAAGCTGACCCCATCAGCACTTTGGGCTTTTTTTTTTTTTTTAAGGCGGACGGCTTCTGTTTGGGGGTCAAACACATTTGCAAAATGACTTTTGGCTTCGTCATTTAGAGAATTTAGCTTCTTGTGGCGATCGGGACAGAACGGGTGTGCTGCTTGTGCAGCTAAATTTTGCAATTATGATCCTATGTGTTACAGAGTTTTATTCCAACAAAAGCCTCAGTCATGTGACTGCGCGTCTGTTTGACGACTGGCGGTCGGCATCAGCGAGATGATCTCACGGATCTCACCATTTCGTTCTCTGAAGTTTAAGTTTATAACTTTTAAAATCAGAACACATCTTCCCACCAGAGAGACGTCACCTTCTCCGCATAATCTTGCGTGTATTTTCCGCAGAACGAAAAACAAAACAAAACAAACAAAAAAAAAAACATTTAATGAGAAAGATAAATAATAAAATCTCCCTCTGAGCAAACACGCCACTTCCACAGCCGCGTTTTGCCAGAGCCCCGCTTTAGTAGGTAATAACTACGTTTCTTGTAATTAGAAATGTAATGCATGATGTCATAGTTGCAGCTGCGAAGGCAGAGATTCTTGACTAGCTGGAGAAAATTCAGCTGTTTCCTAGCGTCGCCACTCGCTGTGGAGAGAATGACATCATCTCCCTGAGGTGAAAGGCAACGGGATTTTAGATTTGATCAGCAACGCGCACACTCACAAACCCGCCGACCGTCTGAATGGACGGCGCTGCAAACAGACATGCGGCGAGGGGCACACACACGCGCACACACACCGCACACACACACAGAGAGAGAGAGCAATGAGTGTCTGACAGATGAAGGAGCTTAATTGCCACAGCATTACATCATGAGTGGCAACAGGAGGCAGCGGGCGCGCCGCTACAGAGAGGGAGGGGAAATGAATATGTCGGCTATCGCTCTCTTTGTCTCCGGAGCAATTTCCCATTTGATTTGCAGTTTGCTTGGATTCGTCGTCCTGTCACGGTTCTCTGTTTAGGCCATCGCGGCGTTGTGGGTCTTTGGTTCTCCCAGACTATTCCGTATTTCATCTCTTTTTGTTCCGACTCAAATTGTTAGGTGCTTGATGTGAGACTATACAGTTTTTGTTGCAGCTAATATTACAGCTTATTTTGCAGGATCTAATAAACATGTCTCTGGTTACTTTACGGTAGAGAAACATAAAAAAAAAACAAAAACATAAATGAATCCTTGGAGGCTCAGCAGCAGCGTTTTGTGAATCTTTTAGCAAAGCACTGTATGTACAGTTTAGCTTTTCATGCTAGTGACATGTTCCATCTTCAAGCGGCCCCAAGATGAGGCTTTGACCTTCAGAATGACGAATGAGAAAATCCTCCATGACTTTGTGCATTGTGGGAGGATGACTGTTTTTTTTTTGGTTTGGCTAAAAATAAAATGTATAAAGTAGAAAATTGTTGGCGGTATGCTGAGTCATCCTTTTTAACTACAAATATTCACAATGTAAATAAACAATATCACATTAACAGATTCAATTGGTTACAGATATTTAGTATAAATAAAGCACTACTTTTTTTTTTTTTTTTTTACTTCTTAAGATACGGAAGGCTTCCTGTGTCTTAATGTCTCATCTTTTAATCCATGATTCCAGGTCTAAACGAAGCCATTAAATACATCTATGTTTCTATTGACTGACTCGTTTTACTCAGTTTATTCAAGGTTTTTTTTTTCCAGTAAGATACTCCCAGCAATGTCAGGTCCAGGCCACCGCTGCTCTTTCAGCCATGGGTCAGCCAATCAGAAGACCGCTCAGGCGTGAGATGTTCTCACAGCTGGAACGGCTCCTGAGTGGTGATGGTGTGTCATAAACGGTGTGAGAGGCTATTTTCCTCCGGTGTCAGCAAATCATTGTTCGGGAACAAAAAATAAAAATCCCACAATATGCATTAAAGTGGAGAAGGGAAGAAATGTAAATCGGTCGACGAGTTCAGGAAGAAAAAAAAAAAAAAAGATGAGTTCCTCATCTAATAACCAGCAGAACCGCGAAGTTTCAAAGGAATCGGGAGTCAGGGAAGAACAGGCCACTCTGCTGGACGCCTTTTGTTGCGATAAGTCCTAAAGTTTAAACCGGTTCCTGCTTTCAGCTGCACACGAGCCTCAACCAGAGAGCCGGTGGAGTAATCGATGGGTCTCCTTTGTATCCAGGGCAGGTTTCCGGAAACTCTCTGCCACGATGTGGACAGCAGGCCTGGTGTCAACCCAACAGGAGGCAATTATCCTGTCCACAGATTTAGACTCCAATACAGAAACAACCTCCGCTTAGAGGCGTCCTCCGACAACCTCGGCTGGATTAAGCACAACTACGGACATCCGTCTATTTTTAGTTTGTATCGGCAAATTATTACCATCATTCCCAACATGGTAAGTTTGGGTCTCTATAGAGTCTGAGATGTAACTCTTAGGGCTTTTACAGTTTTTCTCAAACGTTTTCACACACATCTCCAGACCTTCAAATGGCCAAAACCAGACTTTGACACGGCAGTCACACTTTCTGGTAAACAACTAATGGAGTCAGAGATGTGGGAAGATATTTAAAAGAAAAAGTCTTGTTGAATTTTCTTTCAAGCTGAAAGGTTTTTAATAGGAAACATGGAAGGTAAAACGTAGCAGACAGTTTCTCTGTTTAATTCTGTTGGAAATCTCAAAGCTTTCATGAGGATCTCACTGTATTCACAGCTTTATTATCGTTACCTAATAAGTGACTGCTGTGACACCGCCTCACAACTAATGACCACTTACAGCAAAAACGATTATTTTCTCATATATTTGGTCTTAAAAAGAAATCTTAACTGGATATTTTTAGCATTTCAAAGCTCTGCTAGGTGCTCCTCTTACAGAAAAGAGTTCGACTGAAAGGTTTGGACACTTTTTTTTTTTATTGCTGGAACTAATATATAAATTGTACGACAGCGTATAAGCTTAGAAAGAAACTTTGTCGTAGCTTGGGAAAAACGGGAAAACTTCCTCGTAATAAGAAGATGCAAAACTCATTAGAACTAGAAAGTTTTCCCATTTTAATGAGGTTAAAAAAACGTGTTATAACGAGATGCACAGCTCCTTAGAACCAGAGCATCTTCTCTTTTAAATAAGAAAGGTGGTAAACGGCAACAAGTTGGGATTTTTAGATGTTGTCTTGAGGAAACAGGGAAAGGAGAGTCATATCAGCTTCACCTCTTTTTAACAACTTGTATCCTGTCAGAGGAGCATATTTTACATTTCCTCTAAACAAAACAATCTCGTTCTAATGAGAAACTTTCCGCTTTATCTCGTTATAACGAGAAGGTTTTCTCATTTAAATGAGAAGCTTTCTCGTTAAAACCACATATAAAAATGATCTCATAACAAAGAACTTTCTGTTTTAACGAGTCTTGCTCTAGCGTCCTTCTATGACGGGAAAGTTTACACGTTCGAGCGAGAAACTTTCTCTCTAGAACAAAATGCTGCCCCTGAATCCGTTCTCGAGCTCTGGCGGTTCAACGCTTGTGCAAGACTGCGAGTTTATATGTTCCTCTTCATATGTGTGCAGCTGTTGCATTGCGTACGGTAAGAGATGACGGTAAAAGATCTTGTCCTTGTCTGTTTTTGAATTCCACACATGCTGACTGCGGATCACTCTTATTCTGTGCAAAATGTTAAACCTGGGCTTAACAAACAGAGAGGATCTTTCTGAGTCTAAAGAAGAACGAGTCCATGAGGCGCTGCATTTCAAGTTTAAACAACCACATTGAATATGTATGTAATATTTACTCTGCACGATGAAAAGTCTGATTTGTTATTCCAACCAAATGATTTCTTTTTTTGGAGGAAACCGTAACTACACTGAAGCAAAAGGAGAGAGACTGTTTGTCACACATGTCTGTGTGATTACGAGTAGGTCTGTGTGTGTGTGTGTGTGTGTGTGTGTGTGTGTGTGTGTGTGTGTCTGCGGCCAACGAGGCAGGTACCCAGACTTCCTGCTGTGGTTCTGATTCAAAATGCTCACCAGACAAAGAGAAGCAAGCAGACGAGGCTGCTGATACGGAGAAATGGCAAAAGGCAAAAAACAAAAAAAAAACAAAAAGGACAACGGAAAAAAATCCCCCCAAAAAAGAGACCAGTTAAAAAATAAAATAAAATAAAAAATAAAAAAAATCGACTGGAGCGAAAGAGAGAAGGAAAAGAGGAGAGATTTCCTGTGGGTCATTGAAGGAGAGCGGACAGAGCGGTCTGCGTGCGTCCGGTCGGTCATTGAGCTGATTCATTTGTGACAGAGGGGATTTCTGTGCTCCACGCCATGAATTGCAGCTCTAATTTATATGGTAATCTTCTTTAAGACTCTCGCTGCATACAAAACTCTTCTTATTCCCTTTTTTTTTTTTGGAAAGACTAAAACCCCTCCGAGCCTCACAGACACATGACGATTTACAGAAACGTAACACGTGGCTCACGCTCTGTGGGGAAAGGGACAGGAGACGGCGCCTCTAACTTTCTCGTTAGCGCCGCTTCACGTCACGCCGGTCGGCGCAATCGACGCTTCACGTGTTCGTCCCCCCGGCTGGAATCCCACGTCGGGCTGCGGCGTGAAGTGATGAGCGACTCGAAGGACGGCTGCAGACTGCTTTTGTTTCAGGAGAGTTTGCAAGGACACTCGGGTCAAAGATGGGAAATGTCTTTGAGTTTTAAAAAAAAGAAATAATCACCGACTGGAAGCTTAAGATGCAGTATTTAAAAATAGCTTTGGGTTAATTTTATACAGAAACAAGTAAGTTGAGACAAAAAGAAAATCCCTAATGCTTTCTAGAACTTTGTATCAGATCTCTGACTTACGTATTTGCAAAAACAGAGGAAAACTTATGACTCTCTTTTCAGCAGTGTACTAAAAACACCTTAAAATAAATTACTGATAAAAACTATTATTGTGTCTCTACATTTTACAAAACAAACAGCACTTTTTCCAGTTTTGTTCCTTAGTAATTTTGTATTTTTGAGTTTCGAAGATTCCAACGTTTTAACAGGACGCTCAGAAAGCTCAAAGTATTTCATCAGGATTTTATGTGACAAACCAACACCAAGGATCGTCTCAGTGTGAAGTTCTGATTTTTTTGTAATAGTTAAGAAACTGACAGGTATGGCATCTCCTAAAGGGCAAAACACGGTGGTGGCGGCATCATGTCGAGGGGATTTGGAGCTGGTTTGAGTAGATGGGAACTAAATAAAAGAACCAGAGGCGACAAAAGACATGAGACCTGGGTAGAGGTTCATCCTTCAGAGGAATGGCTTAGATCAAAACATATCCCTGTGATAAAACGGCTCAGTCAAAACCCAAACCTGAGTCCAGTTGAGATTATGTGACAGGATTTGGTATTTATAGATCCTCTCTGACTGTGGTTTAGCTATTTTCCAGACAAAAATGAACAAAAATTGTTGTTTCTAAAGCAGTGTGTGCTGAATATAGAAAGCTGTCCACATTGTGACACACCCAGCAATAGCAATGATTAGTTGGGGTGTTGGGGGTGAAATCTGCCAGTCGCTCTGAGCGGCGTGGGCTCCACGTCAGAGTTCATACGTCTGGGACGCCAGCAAGATGTTTTCATAAAATGTGGATGCCACAAAGAGAAATCAATAATTTCCTCATTTAGTCCCTGGATTGGAATCACCCACCCTCTGAAACCACACACACACACACGCACACACACACACACACGCACACACACACACCTCCTCCTCTGGGGATTTCCTGTGAAGATCAGCTTTAAGAATTGAGTCATATTCCTCTTTTGGAGCTGTCATTTCTGACTCTCTAAGGATATATATATATATATTCACACAATAGGTGTAAAATCTAAATGTAGCAACATGACAGAAACACTAGCAAGACATTGATTGATGACTATGTTTACATCCCACACTCAGCTGAAATTAATGAACCATAAATCCATATTTCATCACTTATTTGTGTGCAGTGGCAGTTCTGGAAGCCACAGTAGTGACTATAGCCTCACGTTTCCTCACAATCTCTTTGTGTGTGTGTGTAGATATGTGCGTGTGCGTGGGTGTGTGCATGTGTGTAGGTGTGTGCATGTGTGTAGGTGTGTGTGTGGGAGGATATTTCTGAGCTCCTTTCAGAGTGCAGCAAAGTGTACCTAGAGTAAATTAAATGTTTGCAAGTAACATGTGAAGGATCATTCCCGGTTCAAACGCAAACAAAAACCCCATTAGCAGGAGGCACCAGCGCACTGCTGCTACTGAGATCCAAGTCTGAGTAAAAAGAGCAGCAGCTTTTTGTTCTGGTTCACAGTTAATGCTGAGAGGACAGGTGTGTTGTACCTGTGAGCAGCTCCCTGATCTCCAGGTCAGTGGTCTTCCTCAGCAGTCGGACCAGAGCGGGAATCCCTCCGCAGTTCTTCAAGGCGATCTTGTTGTCGTCGTTGGCTTTGCCGTACACCAGGTTCCTCAGGGCTCCACAGGCGCTGCGGTGAACATCTGTCATCCGGTGATCCAACAGGTCCACCAGCAGCTGGATGCCACCCTGTCGGCGAATCTGCACACAAAGGAGAGAGTAAAGAGCTGCCCACGTTGGAGCTCGTACTAAAAAAACGCGTTTCGGAGTGTTTTCTCCATCAAAACTGGAAAATATGCCAGCAACAGACTTACAAATAGTGTATAGCTGTAGCGATACACTGATATCACAATACAATACGCGATATTCTGCTCACATACGATATATATCACAATATTCAGCAAACGATACGATTCAATACATTTTTAAGATTTTAGAGATTTTGTGACTGTTCCATAGACTTGGATTAAATTAACAGATGGCATAATACTGGTGTAATAAATATTGTTTTTGTTATACATTTGTTATGCATTTGCTTTGTTTAAATGTTAATTGTGTGGCTTTGTCTATTTGGCTATGCAGAAAACAAACTTTTGTCTTATTCACTTATATTAGATAATGTAATGTATTTCACCTCATTAATTAATTAATTGTAACTGGTTGTTTCATTACATGTCATTTATAATGTACATGTGCAACTGGGTAAAAAATGTCACATGTGATAGCTGTCATTTCATTCATGTGGATTTGACATAAAGTTTGATTTCTCATAAAGGATTCTGACTTGTAAAGAGGTTACACTTTTCTCGCTGTACAGCAACAACATGAGTAACTTTTTGCCACTGTGTGTACAATCATGGCCTGAAAAGCAGATGTCTCTGTAGAATGGTGGGCTCAAAGGACAACACTGCTCTTTATGTTTGACAGCTGATGGGCATTTTGATCCTCTGTGATCATTTTGATGTGAACCAAAAGTGAAAAGCAGCACATACGACGTGTCAACAGCATGAGGAGAATCTGTTCTCCTGCGGCTATACGTGTCAGATTCAGTGGTGCCTCAGAACTATAAATTCTGTGGTAAACACGCAAGTAAAGTAAATTATGTAACAGACACTTAATGTACCACAACTTTTTGACTTTAGTTCAGTGGGTTGGAGATCTAAAGAGATTTTTTTTTACCTACACCTATTCAATGCAGCTGGAAGGTAAAAATCCATCTCAAGATATCTGCAGCCTTTAACAGCTATTGTTCCAGAATCGACTTCCACTCATGACTCCACCAGCTGAAGAAAATCACATTGACAGCATGAACCGGCAAACACCACGTTTCAAGAATGCAGTAGTACGTTCAGTGTCCGTCTATCTATTTAAGAAAATGTGTACATTTTCTAGGGGTTGCTCCTAAACAACAACAACTTAAGAAGAAATGTCATTTTCTGACGGTTTCTTGCTTGCTAGCTAGCTTTATAGCTAGGTTTTGCTTCACCTGAAACCTAGCCAGCTACACTACTCTGTTTTTAAAGAGCTAACTGGCTACACATCTAGGTTTCAGGCAAAACCTAGCTAGCTGCGTAGCTAGCTAGTTCTAGCTTCACAGGTAGAGAATAGTTAGCTAGTTGCTGTTTTTGTTGTCCAATAGTAAGCTCTGTCATAGTTTTGATTTAATCTGCCTTGACATACATATTGCTCTGCGAGTTGACAAGGCAAATTTGGGTCCTGGTCCAGCCTTTTTTTTTATTAATAATTCAAGTTATTTTATCTGAATTATTGCTCTGACTGTGCCCTGCGACAGACTGGCGACCTGTCCAGGATGTACCCCGCCTCTCGCCCGGAACGTTAGCTGGAGATAGGCACCAGCACCCCTCCCGACCCCACTGAGGGACAAGGGTGTTCAGAAAATGGATGGATGGATTGCTCTGACTGTGGAAATGGGTGCCGGTTGCTACATAATTTGTAGCCATTTCTTGGTTTGAATGAGGAGTTGAAAAATGCTCTACTATAAATCAATTCAAAACACTTGAGAGAGAAACACGTATCAATAATGAAAATAACATGTTATCTTGTCCTTTCCAGTTTGAAGAGTGGCTAAGCTATCTCTAGGTCACTTCTTATCGTAATCAACTTAATGAAAAAGTAAAGTATGTGCTTAAAAACAGAAAATAAAATACAACATTTTGTTGTACTAAATACACCGACAGAAATTAAAAGAGTTTGGATTTTTCTGTGTGATGCATCTGAAAAAGATGCATTGAAAAAATCCATCTTTTTCAATAAACGATGCCCTTATTTTAATGCGTTTCATACATTTTAAGTGAGGGATATGAATAAGTGTGGAGAGTACTGTTGTTTTCTACTTTGCCTGAACTGGACAGGAAAAAAACACACAACACAGTAATGAAGATAAACGGGTGCAAAAAGATAAGAGCTTCAAGGCAGATCACATTTATTCACTTGATGGGACCATGAAATATAGTTTTGATCCTGGGAAATTGAGATGCATTACACAAATGACAGACGGCTCCAGCTGTATTACTTGCTGGGAGACTGATCAGGTGGAAGGTCACACATTTCCCTTGGTGTAGTTTCACAAATGAAGCTGCAGCTTTCTCAAGGGCGAAACAGTGTTTGGCCTACAGAGTTCAGTCCTGCCACACTTCATCAGGCTAGTCCCTTTGTTTCACCTCTCACTCTGCATTCGGCTGCTGGTGCCTGATTGCTGTTTGGAGAACTCGGTTCGGACTCATTTCTGTCGCCTCCGTAAGCATCAATAAAGCGGAACTGAAAGGCACTGGGTTGACACCAAGGAGAAAGACGGAGCAGCGTTCTGCCGGACACAGAGAGACGGCGGCTCCAGACGAAGGACGAAGTCGGAGCAGGAACAAGACGGGCATCTGAGCCGGGCTCGGTGTTTGTGCCGGGGATTTATGGCCGTCTAACATAGAGTGACGCAGCAAGCCACACGAGCCAAATGTAGCTCCCATCCAACGGAGACTAATCGCCTCGCCTTCAGGCAATGCGCTAAATAACAATTTTATGCACCGCACATCTCGGTGTTACAGATAACGGCAGGATAACAATAAAGTAAATTGGCAGTCGTCAGATTTACAACCTGCCGTTATAGTATCAGGGCACCGTGTTATGAAGTTGTGTTGTCGCACAGGAATAGTTATTATTTAAGCAGTGAGATAAATATAAAAGTGGCCAGGACATTAGCAGTCTCAGCTTGATGAGACAATACAATTAGTAAACTCTGTCTATGACTAACTTTTTCAACTTTGGTCACGTCTTGAGATTTTTTTTCTTTTTTCTGTTTTTGGTTGGATCAACACAAAGTAATATACGTTTGTGAAGAGGAATGAAAATACTACATGGTTTTTAAACCGTTTTTTACTAATAAAAATCTGAAAAGTTGGGGTGAATTTGTATTCCTTATTTATCTAGATTGACTATGGTATCAACTTTTTTTTCTAAACTTGGTAATCACTCAGAGGGCTTTATTGGCTAGCTCTTTATTTACTTATTTAATTTTTTTTGCAATGAGACTTTAAGGTTGGAAGACCTCCTTGCCATCACCCTAATCTTCAGCTCCCTTGACCATCAGAATGTAGTTTCGGACTTCGCTTAGCAACTGAGTTTGACGCTCTTGGTTTAGGAGTCAATAGGATTAATGTATTTATGTAATGTGATGGTGATGTGTTGTCTCAATGTTTGTAACTCCCTGGCGGACATTATACCACAATGTATGCTGCGTTTATACTGTTATGTATTCTGTATCTCAATAAAGATCTATTTTAAAAAAACAAAACAAGGTAAGTTTCATGTTAAGACCATCATGTTTTTGATTTTGATTATTTTTAATGAATGCATTAACTTTCTGTTTGCGCAAGAGTATCAACTTATGCTTAATGTAAGTTTATTTGTTTGGATATCGCGGTACGACTGTTCAGTACAGGGGAGCTCAAGTCCAGTCCTTGAGAGCTGCCATCCTGCAACTTTCAGATGCTTCCCTGCGCCAATTAACACACCTGAATCAAATGAATGGCTGGTTAGCAGGTCTGTTCGGAGCTGATCCTGGTCTGTTGGAGTAAAGATGCATCGAAAAGTTGCAGGACCTCTCGAGGACTGGACGTGAGCACCCTTGGTTTATTGTTTTTGTTAGCAGCTAAAGCTAGCCAAGCAGGTGTAGCACGGGGTGTCGGGTGGTTAAACCAACATTAAAACTGTCAGAAAGGCCGTTTCAGTTAACATTATTTAGCTGCGGAGTCGTTTTCTTAAAGTTTTCGGCTATAGACGGCATAATGGGGAGAGTGGCTGTGCTGGACCGGTGGTTTGATCTATGCGATCAAAGCTAAGCCAAAATGTTTTTGTCTCTATAAATAATAATGATCATAAATAATGACATATTGGCTGACTCTTTTTTTTCTTCATTAGTACGTCATGTTGGTGACTGAAGCCTGTTATGATGACTTCAACACATTTCTTCTGACAGGTTGTCAGAAGAAATCCTCTCCATAATGTTTCTATAAGCTGACTAATTTCTATAATGCCTAATGTCTGAGTTGTGTTCATGGTAATTATTTCTGACATTTTTATGCTTTATGTTGTAGGTGGTGAAAAATGCTCTCCAGGGTAAACCGGGTGGACAAAGTATTTTGGTGGGTCTGGTTAGTTTTGCTCACTTCTCTTTAAAATCTGTATTTATTATCCTAATGTGTCTGCTATTTATCCTGTTGTTCCTCCAGGCTGGGAAAACCAGGCATTCTTCTGTGGGTTCATGTGCTTCGTCCTACATCCAAAGGCCACAAGAAGAATCCAAAACAGCTCATGTCAAACTGTGGGCCATGTTTTCAGATATGTGCAGGTATGTGGTTATTCTAATGATCCTACTTTGTAGAAGCCCTTTCTCATTGGCTTTGTTTGCTATCTGAATGTAGCTGTGCTGCTAAATATATTTCATCATTTTTATTATTTGTCTTCTTATCATGTCAAAGATGCAAGCCAGTGTTGAAGCCTTCCTCATTGCCGTGCAACCAGGACAGCCCTTCCTCCTGCATGTTGGTGAAAACAAGAGCAGCACCAAAGACACTTCACCATCAGTGATCACAAGATCATCCAAGGTAGCTTTTGATGAACTTCCAAAAGCACACTTCACCTTCAGTGCAAAGTACCATGAATTCCTCTACAACTTCTGTAAACTAATCCAGCCTACAGTTTTCAACATTGATGTGACTTCCACGACAATTGAGGAGTTTAAGATCCTTGCTTTTACTTTACCTGGCAGAGTGGACACTCTTTATTATGATCATTTAAATGCATACTGTATCAATAAGAGGATTTGTTTTATGTTCTTCCAATTAAGGACTTGGTTTATTACAGTCCCTGTGGCAAGCAGTTTTCTGCATGGTCAGCATTGAAGGCCATATTGTCTTTGAGGGGGTCCGCCAACATTCCAGACAGGACAGTGTTGTCCATCTTCTTCATCTTCAGCCTCCAATGAGGCAGCCAAGACTTTGGTTCATTCAACAGTAAAACCATTCCTATAATTTTTTTTACAATGACATGGTTTTAAAGTTCTAAAGCAAGTTATGATTAACATTTGACAAAGG